GCAAGAAAACTGACCACCAGTAGCAGCTATGAAACATCGGGGGAAACCGAGGAGGACTACCAACACAACCTAGGCTTACCTAATAAGAAGTTAAGCAGACCACCTCCATCTAAACAAGGCGAGGACGCCAGTGAATAAAAAGAAAATTAAAAAAGCCCCCGAAGACACAAACTGGCAGGCAGAGAGAAACATTGGCAACTACGTTGGAAGTAATGCTTGCTGCGCCACCGCAGTGCATCCCACCCAGTTAATAACACTTCTCTACCCAGTGCAAAACGGAAAGCCCTAGACCCCCGACGTGCCCCAGGGGCAAAGACAACATCAAGCAATGAAGTCCTCAAATGGGGAGCAATTCCTGAATGCCCCAGGGAAGATAATCCTGACATGCAAGGGCGGTACTCACGGAGCACCTGGGAAAGGTCACCCTAGGCGTATGCTGCTCCTGTACACTAAGACACCTGGCCACCACACCAACACACAACTGGATCAGCCACAGGGCAAAAATCCGGAACAGGAACTTGAGGCCAGAGGTGACTGAAATGACCACCAGCACATCAGTTCAAGAACTGGAGTGGTGGGCTGCGGCTTCCCAAGGGTAGCGCTATCGAGCGGGGGTGCTAGTCACATGAAGGGTTGCTTGTTTGGTTTCTTTCTAAGAGAGTTATTTTGATCTTCTGGGATGTAGATTGCACAGGTTAACCAGACAGTGGTCTGTTTTGATTCTCCAACCTTTCTGGGTTCTCCCCAGTTGAAGGAAGGATAATAAAACGGATAATCAACTGGGAGATATGGGTCACTGTAAGCAGAATATAATTGATGGAAATTATGACAAACATTACTTTAAATGTACAGTGCTCATAGGCCATTGTTCCCTGCACTTCTCTGAGGGGACCAGGTTCTGGCTTATGGTTCCTGGTAGGCATAAGGACTCCTGAGACTGATGATCCTAAACCAATATAGCACATATCAGTTCAGATAGCTTCAGGGAGACAATGGGGCTCCCCACAGAAAAAAAGTTTTCAAATGTTAAATTGTGAAGTGCCCAATCCACTGTATGGATTATGTATAGTCCTTGATGCCTACTGTAACACAACTAACTAACTTTGTACATCAAAATATTAAAATGAATTGGTACAATAAAAATTTATAAACTACAATAAAATTTGTCTAAAAATAGATGAACTCTTCCAAATAACACTTCTGGATGAAAAAGACAACACAAAATTGACTACAAATCATATAAATAATAAATTATAATTGCATAATAATTTTTTCAGGTTAGATGAAGCTTAATTCAACTTCATCCAGAATGTGGTTTTATCATAACCTCAGCTGCCACTGACAATGCTGCCCCTTGATTTAGCATTTTGACCTTTGACCTAATCCCCTCCCCCCCCAAAAAAAAAAACAGCGTTGAATGTAATGAAACGCCATTTTCTGGGCGAGACCCGGAGGGTCCCCGGAGCTTGCTAGGCTGATATATTAATGTCAGACTTTGGCATCAGTCATGTGTATGGAGTTCTGTGGGCCTACCGGGGACCACGAACCAGAACCTGGCCCCCACAGAGAGACATGGGGAGCAATGGCCTATAGAAACCCCCATGTGGTTGGAAGCATTCTATGTCTGCCATTGACCGGGTCAGGCACCCAGAAAGGTAAGCATCCCAAAACAAACCCCCTATTCTGGTGAAATTATGGCTACCAAAAGTCGAACAAGTGGATAGAACTTCCCTAAAAGAAACGAGCAAATGATCATGACATCACACGTCGCCGCGCCGCTGTCTGCGCAGCTTCCCCCCCTCCCCAGGAGGGGGAAGAGGGAGCCTCAGACCCCTCACACTGGCTATCCACCCGTCAGTTCTAAGCCTGATGCTAGAGGCTGAGGTCGTGTGCTCGTGTGAGGGGTCTGGGGCTCCCCCTTCCCCCTCCCGGGGAGGGGGGGGGGGAGCTGCGCCGACAGCGGCACGGCGACGTGTGATGTCATGATCATTTACTCGTTTCTTTTAAGGGAGTTCTGTCCACTTATTTGGCTTTTGGTAGCAATAATTTCACTAGAATAGGGGTTTGTTTTGGGATGCTTACCTTTCTGGGTGGCTGACCTGGTCGATGGCAGACATAGAATGCTTCCAAACACATGGGGGTTTCCATAGGCCATTGCTCCCTATGCCTCCCTGAGGGGGCCAGGTTCTGGCTCATGGTCCCCGGTAGGCCCACAGAACTCCATACACATGACTGATGCCAAAGTCTGACATTAACATATCAGCCTAGTAAGCTCCGGGAAGCCGATGGGGCTCCCCCCAGAAAAAACATTGTTTGGATCACATTGAGTAAGCTTTACATTTTAAGAGGTAATAAAATTTAAGTTAAAATAAACTTGTCTGGTGTTTCATTCACTCAGAATGAAGCCAGCACCAAAAAGATAAAATGCAACAGTACAAGAAATCCCTGGAAGCCAGTGATCATTGAAGCATAGTGTTTAAATACTATACCTAATACAACTCCAGGAGCAAACCAGGGGTATGATGGTCTCCAGTATATGACTAGACAACTAGAGGTAAATATATATAGAAATGAAGGGTATTCCTAAAAGGAGTATAATGGATGACCAAACTAGGACAGTAAGTAATTATAAAATAGAAAATTGAGCCAGTACAGTATGACTATATTGCACTATGTAAGTCATAGAGGGTTCCTAGATATCACTCAGGAGGCCTATATGGGAACAGAAGAACACAAGTTTATCTACATTGAAAGAGCTGGATTCACATTATTTTAGTGTAGGGGAACTATTGGGATGCAAAGTATCATCCTCAAAGCGGATAATCAATTGGGAGATATGGATCACTGTAAGCAGAACAATGCCATTAGTACAGTAGGAGATAAACTTGAATGTCTATGAGTGTCTGAGTAAATATTGTGGTCAATATGTAGCCAGAGTATAGGTACTTCCAATTACCTATTTTGATTAAATTAGGAAGACCATGGGGACTGACCACATTTGATGTTGAGCAATTTATTATATATGGTAGCCTGCCAGCCATCTATCCTTCCAACAGTGGATAACAATCTGAATTATAGTGTAGTAATCCAAAAAGGAAGTTTGGTTTGTGGAAGTTACGACAGTTGGCTCACAATTGATTGGACCCCAAGTTTGATTCCTTTATGGCAAGACAAACATTTTCTTACTTATGCTCACCTAGTAATAAATAGGTACTTTGGAGTTAGGTGACTGTTGTGGGTTCCATAAAGGGGACAGTAAGTCATTGGCCCCAGGAAAAAATTGATAAGCCTGACAGGCCTGCTATCCTCAACACCTGCTTACAAGAATGTAAGAACTCTTGTATATTATATTATATTATATTATATTATATTATATTATATTATATATATATATATATATATATATATATATATATATATATATATATATATATAATATATAAATAAAACAATGGGGAACCATCATTAAAACATTTGAGGCATACACAGGAACAGTGGCCACCCAACAAACCTCTACTTTTTTATACCTGCTAAAGATTAGAACTAATGCTGGATTTCTATTACCACAAGATTAAAAGGATTAAAATATTCTTACAATAAAGACTTCTGAGTTGACAACAATAACAAATAAATGTTGACTATTAAAATTAACCGTCATTGAGCATATAAAATTGAAAAGAGCCCTGCTGTAAAAATACTGATCTCTGGGATATGGCAACACACAAAAGTGGAATCTGTGAAGAACAAACCTAATCCATTCGCAGATTTTGAGCAGTCTGTAAAAATATCAGTAGAATGAAAATGTTAATCAAAACTAATTAAAAAAAGATTTAGATGGGGGTGGAAGCCTTCACTTTATGATTCTGGGCTTTACAAAATGTAACATTCAGGATTATTCACAGTATAATGGTCAACACAAGAAGCATTGAGATGATGTGGATATACAGAATGACACCTGTGAATGTGATAATCACACAGTAAGCAATGCAAATCACAATGTGCAGGGTTCAGTACAGGTACATTAGATAACACATGATACAGTGTACAAGCGGGTGCAAGGACATTAGAGGGTACTTGTGAAAAAACAAAGACAATACAGATTGTTGCAGTTGTAATGATGGATGACTGCTTTTAACATATAAAATCTCTACCGGGGCAATGTGAAAAATGCCAGAGCTTAATAAAAAAGGTCAAATGTATTACAGGAGGCCTTCCCCCCCAATCTTATTGGGGAGAAGGGAGTGGTTGACAGTACTCAAGAAATTTCAAATGTGTAGAAAAAGGGATGCTGTATTGTACGGCTTTTCACTAATGGTTGGTGCAGAGAAAACTTTCTGAAATATTATGTTTCTTACTTTTCAGAGGGTAAGAAGTGCTATCAGTTTTTCTCTTCTATTGTAGCTGTAAGATTTATTAAAAAGGTTAGGAATGGCATGTTTCATGACTATAACAAACTATTGTATAAATAGTTTCAGACCAAGAGGGATGCTAGGAATGACTTGGATGGGGTGGGGTGGGGGAGGAGGGGGTAGAAAATCTCCTGTCACTTCACATGTAATAAATGGGTAACAACGGTAGATACACACCAGGGTTGGAGCATGAAAGTCCTGGGGACATGTCCCAGTACCTGAAGGCAGAAGGGCTATGAATGTTGACAAGTTGAAGAGGGCTGAGGCAGAAGGACCACAACACTATTTGTAAAGGGCACAGTGATAGATGGATAAGAAGCTGAAGTGAAGATTGTATAGGCAACTGTATAAGTTGTATGCATTTAAGTTAGGAACAGGAAGAGGCTGAATTGTTATAATTTATGTTTTTGTTTTGGGAAATGAGATATTAGTCTTTTAAGGTTTAGTGTAAGGGGGGATTGTTCAAGATGATAATGGGCACAAGACTGAGAATAAGCAGGGTGTTTACCATTACAATTAATACAGTGAGAAAAGTGAACAGTACATGATGATTTAGACTGTCCAGACAGGCCATAGATGGAAGAAAACACATCCTGACTCCAACACACCAAAGCACCATGACTAAACTCCTCACCCCTACACTATGGCACATAACTATCTGCAAGGACACTCATCATGGTGGGGCTTAAAGTCACTCAGGGCATATCATGCTTGCAGTGATCTGGTTGAACCTAATAATATGGGTCAGAGAAGATACTGAGGTGGGCCTTGCTCAGAAAATACTACTGTACTGTATAACACTAATCACATCTTCAAAAAAAATAACAATACAGTATACAATATGGAGAATTTATATCTATGGTCATGTCCCCAAAGGAAGCATAAAATATGTTATATATTTGCTGTCCATTCACTTAATGAGGGTGTCGAGATGTAAATGAATGATCAATATGACCAGTTTCCACACAGATGCACCAACCTTAGTATGGATCTTCACCCTCAAACTGAAACACATTTGTGTACATGTACTAAAACTCTTAAATTGTTACTTCAAGTAATTTGAACTTATAAACTGAATATGAGATTATCTTGCCATAACTTAGAAAGAATGTCATCTTTCTCGAGCACATCTATGTTGCCAGTTGCAGCAACCTTAAGTTATAAACATCCTGACGAATTGCACACTATACTCTTCTCTGTGGATCAACCCCTGGTTAATGTTGTCATATTAATTTTAACCACTATCCTGCTAATAATTTTGGTTACAAAAATAATGACTGATTACTAAAAGTATTCATTAAATCATGTTAATGTTTCGCCTCAGTACACACACTTTGTTACATACATACCATAAAGTGCACACCATTTTTAGGAAATATTCAAAATTGCTTAATGCTGCTGCTGCTGCTGCGACAGAACTCGGCATAACACAGAAGCTGCTGTGACAACTCGGCACAACATAGGAGCTGCTGTGACAAAACCCAGCATAACAAGAGCTGCTGTGACAACCTAGCATAACAAGAGCTGCTGTGACAACCTAGCATAACAAGAGCTGCTGTGACAACCTAGCATAACAAGAGCTGCTGTGACAATTTAGCATAACAAGAGCTGCTGTGACAACTCAGCACAAGACAGGATCTGCTGTGACAGAACCTAACACAACACAGGAGCTGCTGTGACAACTAGGCACAACACAGGAGCTGCTGTGACAACTAGGCACAACACAGGAGCTGCTGTGACAACTAGGCACAACACAGGAGCTGCTGTGACAACTAGGCACAACACAGGAGCTGCTGTGACAACTAGGCACAACACAGGAGCTGCTGTGACAACTAGGCACAACACAGGAGCTGCTGTGATAACTAGGCACAACACAGCAGATGCTGTGACAACTCAGCACAACACAGGAACTGCTGTAATAACTCAGCACAACACAGGAGCTGCTGTAATAACTCAGCATAACACAGGAACTGCTGTGACAACTCAGCATAACACAACAGCTGCTGTAATAACTCAGCATAACACAGGAGCTGCTGTAATAACTCAGCATAACACAGGAACTGCTGTAACAACTCAGCATAACACAACAGCTGCTGTAATAACTCAGCATAACACAGGAACTGCTGTAACAACTCAGCATAACACAACAGCTGCTGTAATAACTCAGCATAACACAGGAACTGCTGTAACAACTCAGCATAACACAACAGCTGCTGTAATAACTCAGCATAACACAGGAGGCGCTGCACGGGTAATGAAGCTCTCAGGGAACATACGACATCAGCCTGGTGACCAACTGCCTACTGGATGAACCAAGGAAACCTCTCAATATTGACAGAAATTTTCAACTTTCATTTGGTAACTGTGGTTATTTTGTGATGTTGCAAAAGTGCTATGATGCACTAAACGTAAAAAAAAAGTAATGAAAGATCTTGAGAGAATATTTTAATATGAATTATAACTGAGCAATGATACCAGTCCTGTATTACATTACAAGTTACCTACTAAATATTTATTTTTGCATAACTTGTGTAACTTTGTAAGAGTACAAAAAAATGTATCCTCACTCACAGAATTTGTATCATCCCACACGAGGAACTTCCGACTCTGCAAGTGACCATTGCAATAGTGTACCTATTTAACGTACAAACCAAAATTGACACAAAATCCATGATAAATAATATAAATGTAACTAATAATCAAATTCATTCCTGGGGTGCTCTAGATCTCTTTCTCAAAATTCTCTCTTCACCACACCTGCATAATTTCATTTGTTCTTAACAAATATTTAGTGAAAGTACAATTGCTCATAATCAAAATATGATTCGACAGCACACTCATGTAAGAAATAGTGTAAGAATTATAACTATCTTATAGTGGAATGCTGTACCCCACGGAGTACACAGATGGCAACATGAGCTGTGTGTAAGGCAACTAAAACTATACAAGATTACATCTTGAGTGTCACCCATGACACTTGGATTTATCTGAATACCTGATATAAAGTTGCTGTATGATAAATGTAAAGTACTGCAACTCAGGCTATTGTATCATAGTGTAGAGTACTGCACCTCAAGCTACTGTACAATAGCGTAGAGTACTGTATCTCAAGTTACTGTATGATAAGTGTAAAGTACTGCATCTCAGGCTACTGTATCATAGTGTAGAGTACTGTATCTCAAGCTACTGTACAATAGTGTAGAGTACTGTGTCTCAAGTTACTGTATGATAAGTGTAGAGTACTGTGTCTCATGTTACTGTATGATAAGTGTAGAGTACTGTATCTTAAGCTACTGTACAACAGTGTAGAGTACTGTATCTCAAGCTACTGTACAACAGTGTAGAGTACTGTATCTTAAGCTACTGTATGATAAGTGTAGAGTACTGTATCTTAAGCTACTGTACAACAGTGTAGAGTACTGTATCTCAAGCTACTGTATGATAAGTGTAGAGTACTGTATCTTAAGCTACTGTACAACAGTGTAGAGTACTGTATCTCAAGCTACTGTACAACAGTGTAGAGTACTGTATCTTAAGCTACTGTATGATAAGTGTAGAGTACTGTATCTTAAGCTACTGTACAACAGTGTAGAGTACTGTATCTCAAGCTACTGTATGATAAGTGTAGAGTACTGTATCTTAAGCTACTGTACAACAGTGTAGAGTACTGTTTCTTAAGCTACTGTACAACAGTGTAGAGTACTGTATCTCAAGCTACTGTACAACAGTGTAGAGTACTGTATCTCAAGCTACTGTACAACAGTGTAGAGTACTGTATCTCAAGCTACTGTACAACAGTGTAGAGTACTGTATCTCAAGCTACTGTACAACAGTATAGAGTACTGTATCTCAAGCTACTGTACAACAGTGTAGAGTACTGTATTTCAAGCTACTGTACAACAGTATAGAGTACCATATCTTAAAAGGCAAGTGGCAGCTATAGCTTTTCAATACTTCATTTACTTAATCAATAGCAATATTGAGATAACATGCACACTGCAGTATTATCAAAGAAATTATGAACCTTAATGAAAAATTATGAAACATGTTCTTTAAATTGCTAAACCTTATACCTACACCCAGATAATTTATTCTTCCAGACCTAAAGTTTACCGATATAGTTTATTATTTATAATGATAGTAAATCCTCTATTTTTTTCATGACAAACCCAGGAAATGCACATGATATACAGAGTGCCCATAAATTATTCGACCCATTACAATATTTTAATAAATTCATTATTATAGGAGCTATCTTAAAACAGGATTGCAGTAATTAATAACATAACTCCAGACATAGTTGTTTTAATTAAGAAGACTACCACAGTTCAGTTCATACATTAGTTAAACAGAATTTAGTTAACTACCACACGAGACCCATTAGTACCACGCACAACATCAAGGTGATACATGATTTAGTTCCAGATATTAAGAAGCATGTCTTGCAAGAAGTTTCAACCTTTTGTTTATTAATAATTTTATGTTCTACTGACTGCAGTACAGTATTTACAATTGTCAATTTGCTCGGCAAATAAAAGTGTTTAAGACTTTAGATAAATGAATCCTGAAATTTTGTTATCCTATTGTTAGATACACTAGGTCTACCAGTTCCTTTCTGATGTACTGTATCACATTGCCAGTTTCTTGAAATCGTTTCAGCCATCTCCTGAATGACTGCTTTATTAGTGGAGTTTTCTTTTGTTTTCGAACATAAACATCTTTGTATAGTAATTGGAGATTTGTTTTCCCACAGCCACTTTATATTACTTTCTCCTTCACTACTATCATTGTGCCCATAGTGGAAGTTCTATGAAACAACGGAAAAAAATTTCAAGTTGTATTATTAGTTACCGCAAACCAATTTAAATTAGCCCCTATAACAGCAAATTTATTAACTTATAATGAGGTGAATAATTTGTGGCTACCCTGTATAACTTGTGATGATTACACAAAATACACCATACATCTTATTTAATCTTAAGCTCATAATTTTATTATATCCTATTTATTGTTGATACTGTACACATGTATGGTAAAGTGCCACCCTGACAGAAACTTAAGAATACAAGACAGTATTAACAAATAGCACCAGAGTCACCCATATTATGGGTTGTGTGGCATAGTGTCCAAACTTCTTAACTATCATAAAATTCTAAATTATTGTACAGTATACAGTACAGGATACTTCAGCAGTCATTGAGACTCCTGCATCTATTTCTATAGAGAAAATCTTTTATAACTACAAAATTAAAATAAAAGATACATATGTACAACTTAAATCTCCACAGGGCATACTCTTAAGAAATTAGAATCGAAGAATATTACATGAATGGATATATCATCCCTGAAGTAACGTCTCACCTCCGGTGGAAGCGTCAGTGAATGTGATAGACGTGCATGGTCTAAACCTGCATCTGATCCCCCTAGAGCATGACGTATCAAATGTGTAGATGCATTTGTGTCAACTGGCTTCAGGCACAAACCTTTCTGTCGTTGCTCTAACAACTGAGCAATCTCCCTCAATGTGATAGCTTGTCTTGGGAATCGCACTGGCTGGAGGGTCTGACGGCCACTCATGTACTCTCCAACCAAAGTTACAGAATTTAATGCACTCATACATTCCCATAGACCATCTGAAGCCATAAGTAAAAATCTATCATGTGGTCGCAAGCGATGATAAGAGACTTCTGGCATAGCAGTGAGGTATGGTGGTGTCAGACAATGAGGAATAATATTATCGCGACCTGCATAACGTTGAATTATTTTGATTTGTGTGTCCCTGTCCCATTTGAAACGAAAATCTCCAAAGGCCCTGAATGGCATGAGCATCCCTAATAATCTCTGATTTCTTACCACATACTCTGCTTCTATTGGTGGATGCTCTGACAATACCCGATCTATTTCTGATTGATTTTCCCACGAGTGATCATTTGTGAGACGATGTGCAAGCCAGCCACCTCCTGTGTCTTGCCTTTGCATTCCTAGCACAGCTCCACAATCCCCTGTATTAGCTACATGGAGATGAGGACCATCCACATGAGCTACGCATGCTACAGACCCTGACAGTGCTACTCGGAGAAGTGGTTCCAGCACGGGTGAATTTTGATTCTTCACTACCTCATGACCCAAGTCATTGTCCAGTTGAATAAATGAACCAATGAGTGCATCTTCCATACTGAAGTCCTGAGTAACAGAGGTCAGCAGAGTGTCACAGTAGCTCAAAAGAGAAGCTTCATAAATTTCTTGAAGTTCTGAGACAAAATGCGATGAATCGTTATACACCATGGTGAGTGGAACACGACACCCAGCCTTCCACTCAGACACAAGTCTACGCAGCTCTGCGCGGGGCAGCAGTGAAGCAGCCACATAGTCAAAGAGCCGCTTGGCAACCACCTGGCTACACTCTGGACCTCCATGACCATCAAAAACACCAAACAGATAACCTGTAAAAGTAAGTAAAAAAGAAATATATTAAATAAAGAAGCATGTACATAAATGCTGCCTTAAAGCAGCCTAAAAAAAAGTACATTATTAAAATAAAAATATTGGAACCCAACCTTCCAGTACTTAGGTACAGGTACCATATATATGTTGAACATATATCATTTACGTAAGTGTGAAATATTGCTTCAGTGACCTCGACATAACATGGGTTTTCCTCATGATAAAATATGCTGATTATATTTTTTGGCTTTCCAAACCTTACTTCCGTCCAATAGGAGGATGGGGAAGAAGCATCCAGCCCTAGACTCGGTGTGTGAGCAGCATCTAGCCCAAGACTCAGGAGTGGTAGACAGTTGGAACAAGCTAAGTGAGAAGGCAGTGGATGCCTACACCATCAGTAATTTAAAAGTGCCAAATGACATAGATCTGACCAACAAGTTGGACATAGGACGGCAACTAACTGAAGTCACCTACAGATACTGCACCACCACAGACTCTGCAAACAGCAATGGACAAAACAGCGAAGACAACCGAAGAGCCAGGGTCCAAGCGGATTCTAAAGAAGAGGCAACCACCGCCTGCCGACACACGAGTCGAGAAGCAAAAAACAGCAAAACCGCATCCCGCAGGAGCGGCGTGAACAGCTTCAACAATGCAGACAATGCCTGCACCACAGAGGGCAGGGCACCAGACCATGAGGCGGCCCTAAGCCCGTCCACATCCAACTCAAGTCAATCCGAGGACAGCTCGAGGAGGGAGAAGAAACACAGGGCTGAAGCCAGCAGGCAGCGTGTACTAAAATCCTCCGCAACCAAGGCAGCCGAAAGGGAAGGCACCTGCACATGAGGCTGCATCACACCAACATCCCGCAGAAGGACAAAGGCGAACAAGCAAGCATTAAGATGCTCTAAGTCACCCCCCAGGAAAACAAAGCAAAAGCAGTCTGAGCTTCACTCCACTCAAGCGCGCGGGACCGACAGAATGTGCCAAGCCTCCAATAAAAAGAGCAGGCAATCTGCCAACCAGGACGACTCTGGAACTTCATAACGAACCCAGTACGGACACGAAGAACCACACATAAAGGAATGCGGATCCATCACGAAAGCATAATCCGGGTCATGCAGGAGGTAAGCCGCAAGGGCTTCCCGCACCTCATGAAACAAGACGCGGGAAGCTGAAAACCTCCGGAAGGAGGTTTCCACAGGATCCCGGAACCAAACCCAGGGAGGGGTAGATGCCACATTCAAGTCGTACGAGGAGGGAGCGAAAGAGAACCCCCTCTCCTTGTAACACTAAGCTCTGCTCTGATGGTTGAAAAATTCAGGCAGGGTCCAACGGGGCCTGGGGGCAGTACTTACTGGGCACCTAGGGAAGGGAACCCTAGGCGCATGCAGCCCGAGTACCTTGGAATATTACTCCTGGCTCACACACCACCTGTGGAGACAGCCCACATCACAAGACACAGAACGGAGACAAAAGCAGGAGCCAGAGGCACAAGACTACTCCAGTATCGCATCAGCCAAGAACTGGTGCTTGGATTGCCAGCGTGATGGTCTGGGGCTCCCCTTCCCCCTCCTGGGGAGGGGGGTTTGCAGAGTGGCGCAGCAATATGATGACGTCATGCTCGTTTGCTAATTTTCATTTGGGGAGTTCTGTCCACTTGTTTGACTTTCGGTAGCAACAGTTTCACCCGAATAGGGGTTTATTTTGGGGTGCCTACCTTTCTGGGTGCCAGACCCAGTTGATGGCAGACAGAATGCTCCCAACCACATGGGGTTTCTATAGGCCATTGCTCCTCATGCCTCTCTGCGAGGGCCAGGTTCTGGCTTGTGGTCTCCAGTAGGCAAGAACTCCATGCACATTGACTGATGCCAGAAAGTTATACATATCCATTCAGCCTGGATAGCTCTGGGGAGCTGATGGGGCTTGCCCCAGAAAAGTGGTGTTTTGAGAGGTGGTGGTGGTGTTACTGATGAGAGTAAACAATGTTGTATAATCATTAAGTATATGTTTAATGTTGATATGGCAGAGATGACTGAGAACAATATAGAAAAAGACTGTAGTTGATAACACTTTTGCTCAACATTTCATCAGGATCAGTGACTTCCTCAAAAGCAATGTAAAGAAACACTGGCCATCCAGTTCTGTACCTACATGGCAAGTGAGCCACAACATTTGCATGGTGGCTCAGTGGTTACTTAGCTAGTCCTGGATTAGTGTTTGCTATCAAGCACTGGTATTTCTTCTCATCAGTAATGATGAAAGGAAACATCAGCTGCAATATTAACAAAATATTACAACTACAAACACATTCAACAAAGTATATGCCTGCAAAATAACAGGCACTTTTATCAATCTTCTATCATATAATTGATGTCAATTAAACTTCAACTTATCTACACACATCTTTTAACATTATCTGCCAGAACAGTTGCATCTGCATACATCAACTTTTCATGCAATTCATTTTTTCGTATTATACAATAATTTCACGCCGTTTTCTAGACCTCCATCATGACCCCTTCTAAACCACCACAGACACACACAACACAACTCTGGCATACTCTTATAAGAACATAAAATTAGTTGCACAACACAATCAACTTGCAATCAAATGCTATTTTCTGCATAAAAGCTCTTTACATCATTGAATAACATTCCAATAACTCTTTAAATGCTCAATACTCTTCACAGGACCTCTCTCAATTCACTTTTTCTGATTCTCTCAACAAGTTCATAAATAAAGCATTGAGTATAATGAAATGCCTTTTTGGGATAGAACTACAGTAGTTCCCCAATATTATGACACTGGCACCTAAGGGACATATCTGATATGCCAGGCTGGCCACCTGATTTGACAGGTACTGTCTTTCCCCACCAGGAGCAGGTAACATTTCCCACCAATATACCCCCCCCCCTCAAAGGGGTAGAGAGCACATGGGGATCAGAGATTGACCCACCACTACCTAACTAAACTCTCCTTAAGTGAAAGTCACAAAACACTCAAAACTTCAACAATGTTTAGTTATTAGGTACCTACCAAACAAAATTCTAAAAAATTGCTACAATACCTCCCCAAACAGGGACGTCTGATACCTGCTAGGTCCAACCCAGATTATTATTGGGTTAGGTTCTGGAAGGACCTAACCCAAAGGAAGGAAGGAAGGTTCCAGAAGGACCTAACCCAAAGGAAGGAAGGTTCTGGAAGGACCTAACCCAAAGGAAGGAAGGTTCTGGAAGGACCTAACCCAAAGGAAGGAAGGTTCCGGAAGGACCTAACCCAAAGGAAGGAAGGTTCCGGAAGGACCTAACCCAAAGGAAGGAAAGTTCTGGAAGGGTTGGACTAACACATGAAATAAATGATAGAATACTGGAAGGGTTGGATAAAACAATGGTGAAAACAAAGAAAGCAAAGGGTTGTCCTAAATGGAAATGATTCTGACTGGAGAAATGTGGTGAATAGGATCCATTTTGGGGCCAACCCTTTCCGTCATATACAACCTGACGGTTGAGAGGCGGGACCAAAGAGCCAGAGCTCAACCCCCGCAAACACAACTAGGTGAGTACATCAATGACATAGATGAGAATATCACAAACCTCATCATCAAATTTGCAGATGATATTAAGATTTATGGTAAAGTTGGAAGTGAAAATTATATTGAGGCTTTATGAACTCCACTTTACTACATGAACTCCACAAGTGGAAAAATGCAAGACCTTGCATGAGGGGCATAACATTGTACTTTACAACTACCAAATCAACAAATTACCTTGCAGCAGATTGATAAAGAAAAGGACTTTAGTCAGAAAATACCAATCATTGAAGATTACCCAACAAGTGTGAGGTGCAGTAAAAGAAGACAACCAAACCATAGGAATAATCAAACAAACCTTTGACTTCAAGGAAAAGAAGGTAGTTTTTCAACTGAATAAATCTCTGGTGCACTCCCACTTGGATTATTGCCGTGATCGCTACTGTCTTCGCTATCTTGTGCGGCCCTTGCAACATCCTTCCTCTCGCCTCTGTCGTGCTTTGACTTTTACCCCTCCTGTAGTTCCTGTTCCTCTTCACCACCTCCCTCTTTTTGTCCGGTTATCTCGCCTAAAGGATTCTCTTTTGGTTCATATTTCTAATATTTCTCCTCGTATTGTTCCTTTATTGCCACCGTGGCGAGTCCCCCTTCCAAAATTTTGTTCATCCTTGACCCGCATCACTAAAGCTTTTACCCCTCCTACAGTTCTGAAACGCCTTTTCCTCACACTCCCGCTCCGTTTCCATCTTCACCGATGGGTCTAAGTCTGCGGACGATGTAGGCTACTCTGCTGGTTTTCATGACCGCACTTATATGTGTCGCCTACTTCCGGAGACTAGCATCTTCACAGCAGAACTTCATGCTATTCTCTTCGTCTCCTGTTTTCTCGTTGTCAATCTTCCTTTGTGATTGTCGTTGACTCTCGTAGTACCTTCATGGCTCTCGGGTCTTTCAATCTGGTCCATCCAGTGGTCGTCGAGATTCAACATTGGCTGTTTCTTATTTCCAGTAAGTTCAAGTCAGTTGAGTTTTGCTGGGTTCTCAGCCATACTGGTGTTTCTTTAAATGAGCGTGCGGACGCTGCCACTAGGGAAGCTGTCCACTCTTGTCCCATCTTTCGTAAAGGTATTCTTTATTCCGACTTTTACCCAGTTATTCATTCCTCCATACTTACCTGTTGGCAGGATTGTTGGTCTTCTGTTTCTGGTAACAAATTGCGTACTCTTAAGGGTAGTGTGTCCTCATGGCCTTCTTCCTACCACCGTAACCAACGATGGGAAACCGGCTCTGGTGAGGTTGCATATTGGCCATACACGCTTAACTCACGGTCACTTAATGGAGTGCCGCCCTGCTCCTTATTGTCCAAATTGTATTGTCCATCTTACAGTTGTGCATATCCTTGTTGAATGTCCTGACTTCCAGGACGAGCGTGTGTCTTGCTTTCCTACCATTCCTCGCTGTCGCTTGTCCCTCGATAGAATTCTTGGTGAATCAGATACTTTTGATATCATTCGCCTTATGCGTTTCAGTTCTCATATTGGCATCCTTAGTGATATTTAGCGGCATCTGATTATTCCGCACATTCGATGGTGCTACATTGCCTTCCCGGTTTGGTGCCTTCATTTGATAATTGCTTACTTACTTGGATTATTGTATCCAAGCATGGAGCCTCATCTTCTGAAAGACACATCTGCTTTGGATAAATTTGAACACTGGGCAAAAAAAATCATTCCAGACGTAAGTCAACTCAATACCAGGAAAGGTTGAGGGCCACTAGGCTAACAAGACTGCAAACCAGACATAACAGGGCTGACTCATCCAAAATTTTAAAATACTCTGTACTGAACAATTTGGGGGATACTGATCCAAACCACTTCTTTAAAAGGTCAGATGTAACAAGAACAAAGAAAAATAGTTTCAAGCTCAACAGATCACAATGTAGAAAAGAAAACAGATGCTATTTCACCAATAGGGTAATAAACCCATGGAACTACCTACCCGCCGAAGCCGTAAATGGCAAAATAGAACTGTTGACCAGACCACACACTAGAAGGTGAAGGGACGACGATGTTTCAGTCTGTCCTAGACCATTCTCAAGTCAATTGTAATGGTCCAGATGGATGATTGATGATTGTGATGGATTGAGAATGGTCTAGGACGGACCAAAACGTCGTCGTCCCTTCACCTTCTAGTGTATGGTCTGGTCAACATACTTTAGCCACGTTATTGTGACTTATCGCCTGCAAAACAGAACTGTACTGAATTTTAAAAAAACAGCTTGATAAATACATCTGAACAAATTGGGGATCATTAAACAAGCTGCCAGTTTTCTATCCTCATCAAGGCCACTAAAGTGATAGTGGACCTTCAGGTAAATTCAGGCAAGTCTGACAGCTACTAGGTCTAGTCGAGACTAGTGTCAGGTGACCTGGTGGGAGACAGCCTTACGGCTGCCAAGTTCAGCCCAGACTACTGTAAAATCCCTTCTTTCCTAGACATGATGAACCATTTTGGGGTCAAATGTTAATGACCTGATCACCCATAATATTAATAACACTTAGGTTACCGGGAAGACAGTTTAGGCTGAAAACAACAATGTTACACCTGCCAACTGACCAGTAGTGTGAAGACATCGAGCAACAGCCAGCTTGTCTTCTATTGGAGAATTAGATTCCAGCTGATTAGAATCTACAGAATCTATTGAATATGTTGCTGCGGGCATGATAACTTGTGATGTCCATTCTTGATCTCCACCACCGCTCACTTGCACTACTCCTTCATTTTGACGAAGAATCTGGGTCACCTGGTGATCAAAGGAAAAGGTGCTGTCAAGTGAAATTTCTTACTGAATTTGAGAGAAATACTTTCTGGGGTATCTTGAGATGATTTCGGGGCTTTTGAGTATTCCCGCGGCCTGGTCCTCGACCAGGCCTCCACCCCCAGGAAGAAGCCCGTGACAGCTGACTAACACCCATGTACCTATTTTACTGCTAGGTAACAGGTGCATAGGGTGAAAGAAACTCTGCCCATTGTTTCTCGCCAGTGCCCGGGATCGAACCCGGGACCACAGGATCACAAGTCCAGTGTGCTGTCCACTTGGCCAACCGGCTCCCTACCCGGCGACTGGGTAGAATGAAAGCCAGGCAGATTTGATACAGAAAATTTTAATAGTGTACAGTTATTAATAAAATTAAAATATTTAATATAAAATTGTTACTGTACATGGTGAGAAGGGTAAAACTTTTATTGATGTGATTCTCAACTCACTCACAATTAGTGACCCCAGATTCAATTTCCAGGCACAGCAGAAATGATTGGGCACATTTCCTTTCACCTATTGCCTCTGTTCATCAAGCAGTGAATAGGTACCTGGGAGTTAGGCAATTGTTGCATAATTGCATTCTAGAGAAGGTCAGTAAATTCAACCTAGGGGGCCTCGATACAAACCTGAGGTGTATGTGTAATTACCTAAGTGTAATTACCTAAGTGTAGTTACAGGATGAGAGCTACGCTCGTGGTGTCCCGTCTACCCAGCACTCTTTGTCATATAACGCTTTGAAACTACTGACGGTTTTGGCCTCCACCACTTTCTCACTTAACTTGTTCCAACCGTCTACCACTCTGTTTGCAAAAGTGAATTTTCTTATATTTCTTTGGCATCTTTGTTTAATTAGTTTAAATCTATGACCTCTTGTGCTTGAAGTTACAGGTCTCAGGAAATCTTCCCTGTCGATTTTATCAATTCCTGTTACTATTTTGTATGTAGTGATCATATCACCTCATTTTCTTCTATCTTCTAGTTTTGGCATATTTAATGCCTCTAACCTCTCCTCATAGATCTTGCCCTTCAGTTCTGGGAGCCACTTAGTAGCATGTCTTTGCACTTTTTCCAGTTTGCTGATGAGCTTCTTAAGATATGGGCACCACACAACCGCTGCATATTCTAGCTTTGGCCTAACAAAAGTCATGAACAATTTCTTTAGTATTTTGCCATCCATGTATTTAAAAGCAATTCTGAAGTTAGAAAGCGTGGCATAGGCTCCTCACACAACGTTCTTTATGTGGTCCTCAGGAGATAGTTTTCTATTTAGAACCACCCCTAGATCTCGTTCTTTATCAGAATTCTTTAAGGATTTCTCACATAATATATAGGTTGTATGGGGTCTATGTTCACCTATTCCACATTCCATAACATGACATTTATTTACATTAAATTCCATTTGCCAAGTGGTGCTCCATATACTTATTTTGTCCAGGTCTTCTTGAAGGGCATGACAATTATCTAAATTTCTTATCCTTCCTATTATCTTAGCATCATCAGCAAACATGTTCATATAATTCTGTATTCCATCTGGTAGATCATTTATGTAGACAATGAACATCACCGGTGCAAGAATTGGTGTACTTACCAGTACTATTGGTGTACTTACCTTTGCAAGAATGTAAGTACACCAATATTATGTACTCTTACAACCCAATGTACCTTCTTGTAAATAAATAAATAATGCATATTTAGAGTTACTACCATAGCTACATTTCTAGCCAATTCCTGCACTGAAAAGCACAAGAGCGATGGTGGTGACTGATATTCTGAATCACCTAAGTTACCTGAACATACCTGGAGAGGATTCTGGGAGTTCTATTCCCCAAGCCCGGCCTGAGGCCAGGCTCAATTTGTGTTGCTGGGTTCTCCATCAAGTTGCTGGGTTCTCCACACGTGACGGCTAATACACCAGCACACACAGCCGACTTACCTCTTGGAGGAGGATTTTGGGAAAGAAATCCTCCTCCTCGCCATCACTGAATGATGGCGAGCATATATGACACAACTGGCTTATCTCTAGGGAGAACAGTTTAGGGGAAAAAAAGCATTGGGTTATCTATAAAGTACGGATAATTAATACAGCCACACCCATAACTGACTTACCTCTTGTGGGGAGAGTTTAGGACGAGGAAAGGCGTTGAATCGTCCACATGTGAGAGAGAGCCAACACACTTGACCTGAACTACTGCAGGATAACCCCGACCCTATAGGCCTAGCACCAACGCCCTCACCACACAAGATTTTACTTTCTAAACAGCGAGAAAGAGGCCTCACATTCTGATACAAGCAGGAGAACACCTTGGCCATAACGTAGCTACAAATAAGATTTAGGATCAGTGTGGTGTGGAGCGAAAAGGGATGTTGTTGTTATTGTTGTAGAGTTGTTTACACGGTGCAGCAGACGAAAGTGTTCCCGCAGGCTTGCCAACCACATTCCCGACACCACCTCCTTATTACACACCTCATATATGATTATTTTGTGAATAATTATGTAACTCACTATAATAAGTATATTATGTTCATATTATGCTAAATTATTTGCAATGTAACAACGCATAATGTTTTAAATGATTGTTTTCCTGACATCATAATTGGTCATTGGCAATGTTAGAAGCGTTCGTCAACAGTCAAGGATCAATCTGGATTACATTATGACGCCACGAAAACCTTTATCTTGCTACAAATTTTATTTTTTCAAGACTAAAGTATAAATAACATTGTGTTATCATTAGTATTAATAAAGGTAGATCTGGTTTCATTAGAATGATACAATATAATAAAAACCAAACATGCGTAAATAAAAAGGTGATATACGTTCACTACATAACTAAGGCACGAGAAACTTTGTGTATTATAGTGACTATTTATTATGCAATCTCTCTCTGCCTACAAAAACTAATATATATTTAATATGTTTTATAAATACAATAATAATTAGTATTATTATAGCTTGCTATCTCAAGACAGGTGTGTGAAGGAGCAACATGCTCTTGCACGACCACTTACCAACTAAGTAGGAGTCAAGAGACTAATATGTCCACATCGTTGTATCGTTATATATGTAATAATAAGTTTGTCTTCAATGTCTTTCTTTATTATGCACCCCATACCCATCCCGTGGGCGGTGGTGTAAAGGATTACAGAGGCACATAATCGGTTCAGGGACTGAACCCTCTAGTTCGTTTAGCTAAGCAAATAACAATCTTTCGACGCTAGTTACACAATTATTAATGTTATAGTTTGTGTACCGTGTAAATCTTGGCGGTGAAGGCCACGCCCACACCAAGTTATTCCCATAAACTAAGCAACTGGTGGTCAAGGCCGCAACAGGTGGCAGAGATCAGCCCGTTTGTGGCAATATTCTGACGTTGATCAGTGTTTGTGGTAATAGATTGATATATGGGTCAGATTCCATTAAGGTTCGGAACAGTAATATTCTGGTGTTGACTAGTGTTTGTGGCAATATCCTGACGTTGACCAGTGTTTGTGGCAATATTCTGGTGTTGAGTAGTGTTTGTGGCAATATTCTGACGTTGACCAGTGTTTGTGGCAATATTGTGGTAATATTCTAACGCTGAGTAGTGTTTGTGGCTATATTCTGACGTTGACCAGTGTTTGTGGCAATATTGTGGTAATATTCTGACGTTGAGTAGTGTTTGTGGCTATATTCTGACGTTGACCAGTGTTTGTGGCAATATTGTGGTAATATTCTAACGCTGAGTAGTGTTTGTGGCTATATTCTGACGTTGACCAGTGTTTGTGGCAATATTGTGGTAATATTCTGACATTGAGTAGTGTTTGTGGTAATATTCTGACGTTGACCAGTGTTTGTGGCAATATTCTGACGTTGACCAGTGTGGTAATATTCTGATGTTAAGACCAGTGTTTATGGCAATATTCTAACGTTGACCAGTGTGGTAATATTCTAACCTTGACCAGTGTGGTAATATTCTGACATTGACCAGTGTGGTAATATCCTGACATTGACCAGTGTGGTAATATCCTGACATTGACCAGTGTGGTAATATCCTGACAATGACCAGTGTGGTAATATCCTGACATTGACCAGTGTGGTAATATTCTGACGTTGACCAGTGTGGTAAAATCTGACATTGACCAGTGTGGTAATATTCTGACATTGACCAGTGTGGTAATATCCTGACATTGACCAGTGTGGTAATATTCTGACATTGACCAGTGTGGTAATATCCTGACATTGACCAGTGTGGTAATATTCTGACATTGACCAGTGTGGTAATATCCTGACAATGACCAGTGTGGTAATATCCTGACATTGATCAGTGTGGTAATATTCTGACGTTGACCAGTGTGGTAATATTCTGACATTGACCAGTGTGGTAATATTCTGACGTTGACCAGTGTGGTAATATCCTGACATTGACCAGTGTGGTAATATTCTGACATTGACCAGTGTGGTAATATCCTGACATTGACCAGTGTGGTAATAATCTGACGTTGACTAGTGTTTGTGGTAATAATCTGACGACCCTCATCACGGCTCCTGTGGATTTGTTCATTATTATTATTATTATTATTATTATTATTATTATTATTGTATTTATACTGTAGTAATTATCAGTGATGAATACTGAAAATAAAATTTGTAACTACTGTACTGTACATTAAATGCAAAACAAAACTTTTGTTTGTTATGCAGGTAGTACATTACAAGTACTAATATGCTTCTACCATATCTCAGACTACAATGCAAGCCCTACAAAGCAGTGAAGACACAATAACCATAACATCAGAGCTACGATTCCTCCCAGCTTGGGCGAGGTCAGAGCTGGCACACATCCTGGAGGTCACACACGGGTGGCGGGAGGTGATGGGTCGTGTGCCCAGCAGTCCCTGGATGCCAGGTGACCCCATCCCGCAGGACCTCCACTATCCCAGGAAATATTCTTCAGATGATATCCTGTTAGTTTTGTACAGTGTATGAGTTATCTTAGCAGAAACCATAGCCTAATCCCTCTCATATTGGAAAATTTATTATGTAATCTCAAAATTTAGGGACCCTAACAAGTGTGTAGTTTTAATACAGTACACACAAAATTAAAGTACAATACAGTACCATGTTTATTTAATTTTTGAATACAGTATACATTTGGTAAATAACCTTTTTAGCTTAACTTGCAAGGCTTAGTTGAATTAAATCAATTGAATTTAAAATTTAAATTAAATCAAGCCAATCTGGCATTTTATTATATTTATGCAAATTATTAGTGTTACAATTCTTGTGAATTGTTCAGTTCTATGAAGTGCGATAAAAAAGGTTGCAGTACAGTACTAATATTAATGTATGAATACTGAAGGTTCGTAAAAGAAATGCACCTGGGCTTGATGTCTCAAGACTCGGTAAAAGTGTTGTATTATTCCATTCCAGGAGCGAGTGGTTGGTATGAGAGTATTGTATAATAATTTGTTGTGGTGTATATCTCAATGAGAGCCTAGTGCTCAACAAATTTCTTCCATAAGGTTATAGTCAACCCAAAACTCTACCCATGATTACTGACTTTATAAAAAGCGTAAATACCAGAACATGCTATTTATACTGTAATTTTGTGTATTCCTTATAAGTTATTAGTATTTTTAAAAAACTCAGAATAGTAGTGATTAATTGTCTGACCTTATAAAACATTCCAAGTGTAAGAAGCTTTCATCCTGAAAAATAGTGCATACTTTAAGAATAAATCCACTCTTGCAGATTTATTTGCTATATAATACTGGAGACAAAATCATTGGCATGTAGAGAGTATAATTATTTTGCAGGTATTTATTACTATTTATATGGTCGACACAGAACGAGTGTTGCATCCGACAGGGTGTGCAAGCATTATATCGGATATTTACTGAACATTGTACCAGCACCTTCTCCTGTACCAGCACTTTAGAGTTACTTAATAAGTATTGAGGAAGAACTGATAGGTCACACTAGAAGTCAGGTAGTCTGGTAGAATGAATCCAAGGGTGAGAAAGGCAAGAATTTCAGCTTGAGCAGGTGTGATGAGATTGAGAACATGATACAGGCTATTTCATGTCAAATAACAGGCAGAAATCACCAACTCACTTGTACAATGGATATCTTTTGAGGCACAAAGTCCCAAAACATCATGCATACTTTCAGATAATGACTGACTTTTTTTCATGAGTACTGTACACTATATTTACTCTTGAAATGTTTTGGTCACACCCTGTATACATGTACACAAAGCTGTTTTTATTTTTTCATTACCAGCCTAATATCAGAGGAATGTGCAAGAGATCGTCGTGAAGGCTTTGAAGCGCTCCTGGAGGAATGGGGCACAAGTGGAAGGCGCCGCCCAACTGTACATGACCTCCTAGAGCTACTGCGCCTGGCTAAACTCTACCGTGCTTTAGACTACCTCACTGTTAATGTTCTTCATGGTAAACTGAAAACTATTTTTTTTTCTCTCTCTCTCTGTTCCTAATAAATGTCAGATTTTTAATATGTCAATCAATAGTCATGAGATGATTAATGTGCACTGTACTGGTACTATACTGTATATAGATTTCAAAATATATATAAAAAAATCCTATTGTTGATTCAAGTACAGTACAGGTCAAAGGTTGCTACAGGTACTTGTGCCTTCATTCATCATGTCTACACTCTGGGTTAAAGGTTTCCTGCATCATAGCATCATACAAACTTTTGGTTTATCTTTATTACATTTGTGAGAGGCCAAAATTAAACTTGTTCTATTACAGTATCTAGGTTCAACTATAATATTCTGTTTGCAGGAGAAGCCCTACCTAGGGAAGGAGATAATGATCCCATTGATGATTTGGACAAGGCACTAGAAGAGGGACTGAGGGTTCATCAAACTTTTATTCATGAGATAAGTTCCTGTGAAGAGGTCAGAGATAATGCAAGTGTTTATAATGAGAAACTGAACAGTAATGATTTGGTGCATGCTACAGCACCACCTGTTGAAGATGAGGTGGTCAGCCCTCCAACTACCTTCACCTTTCAACACCCACAAACACAATTACCACCTCTTGATGCCCAAGCTTTACAGGATTTGAAAATTTCAGGTTTTACACATTTCAATTATTCATTAATGAAGGAAATGACTAATACCTTCTCTGATGTGCCTGTGGATTTAGGAGGTTGTAAATTAGGTGAGGGAGCATTTGGCATTGTATATATGGCCAAAATATTTCAGGGAGGTCGTGAGAAAAAGGTTGCCGTGAAGAGACTCAACTCGGGAGAGATCAAGGTTAAGGAGCAATTTAAAACAGAAATTGAAGTTCTCTCAAGGTAGGTAACATATGCAGTACTGTATATTTAAAGTTGGGGTGTCATAGTGGGATGGGGGGCTTGCCTATCAGTAACTATGGAGGAAGTGAGATGCCCCCTCTTTATGCCCCACTTCCTAGCAATCTATACTTCACATACTAATTACCTCTCTCATCATCAATGTTTTCATCGTATTTCTTTTTAAAGTTGTGGATGGAATTGGTTTCAACAACCTCTTCCTTCAGTGATGTCCTAGTGAAGTAGTGTCCTAGTCAGGGTGATGCCCTAGTGGGTGATGGTGTACTAACGGGGCTGGTATTTTAGTTAGGGTGGTTGGCTAAGGAAATACAGAAGAGTGATTATAATGGAAAGAATGTGATACCTGGTTCATGGAGTTCTGGGAGTTCTTCTACTTCCCAAGCCCAGTCCGAGGCCAAGCTCGACTTGTGAGAGTTTGGTCCACCAGGCTGTTGCTTGCAGCGGCCTGCAGGCCCACATATCCACTACAGCCCGGTTGGTCCGGCACTCCTTGGAGAAAATGATCTAGTTTTCTCTTGAAGATGTCTATGGTTGTTCCAGTAATATTTCTTATGCTCGCTGGGAGGACGTTGAACAACCGTGGACCTCTGATGTTTATACAGTGTTCTCTGATTGTGCCTATGGCACCTCTGCTCTTATATACAGTACAGTTCTGTACCATATACCTGTGTCAAACTGGATGTTGTAAGCAATTGTAAGATGGGTATGTATGAGTGAGGTGAACCCAAGATAAGTTGTTGAACCTCAGTAATACAGTCTGAACTGCAAGTTGTGAGATGAAGGGTACTGTATATGGATTCTAGAAGGATCATTCTTAGTTATAAAGAATATACTGTATAATATAAATTTAGAGATGTTTTATACAGTACTTAAAATGTTTTAGCTTAGTATATAATAGTAATAATAATAATAATAATAATAATAATAATAATTAAAAATTCACAGGAGCCTTGACAAGGGTTCGAACCTATGCACCGAGTGTTCCCAGACGCGCTCTAGTCAACTGTAGAAGAGGTCTGAGTCACTCTTAGCATAGGTGTGAACCCTCATGAAGGCTTCTGTGGATTTGTTCTTTGATATATCACATTAATGTGATTTCCCTGTGAAATAATAATAATAATAATAATAATAATATTAATAATAATATTTATAAAAAATAGATGTGTGGTATGATTACAGTATAAATCAAGTGTTGAAAATAATATGATGATCTTTTCTTGGCAGCCTTAATAACTCCCCATTGCATTGTCTCTGATATGTAACTGTACCACACATACCACAAAACTTGAGGATCTCTAGGCTAGGGGAGGTCTACCCAACACAAGGACTTGGTGTGCTCATGGTGTGAGGAGGCATTCAGGCTGACCTGAGCAGTCACCTGGTGGTGCACTTGGGAACAAGAGAATAGTTTGTTGATACTGTACTGGGCAATCATTTCCCGTGTTTCCATCATTTCTCTTGTTGATAAAGCTGTGTTGTTTGTTTCTGCATGGTTTTACTTTGTTTTTGGTAGATCATAGATCCCCACGATCCTTTGATCTAGACAAACATACCAGATTCTGGTCTTAGTGTTGGGTAGGTCTATACAAGCCAGAGACCTGGTTGTTTTATTGATGTGTCTGTGGTACTAGAGCCAGTGCACCAGAGAGCTAATGAGGCCAAGCCTGGTAATTCTACGTGTAGGTTTCATATTTTTTATAACGATACTAATCGGCCTGGGATGTGTAATACTTACTCTTGGAAGGAGTGTAAGTAGTAGTTAATGAATTATGTTAATATTTATATCACTTGCTAGGTGCATTCATGAGAATTTGCTGGCACTTGAGGGCTTTTCCTGCGATGGTCCAGACTGGTGCCTTGTGTATGCTTACATGCCCAATGGCAGTCTTCAAGACCGTTTAGCATGTGCAGTAAGTTTGCTCATTTTATAATAAATCTAACACAATGAAACTAAACAGTGATTGCCTTCTTTCTTAGGGCTTTTATGATTTGTAGTCATCAATTTCTTGAAAGAATGCCAATACATCACTGGTTTGTTCTTGAACCTTAGATGTCCTATATACAGTACTCCATTAGAGAATGCAGACAGCAAGCCACAAAATCATGTACATTAATTTAAAAAAAGAGGACTCATACTCCCAACAGAGAGAGAGAGAGAGAGAGAGAGAGTGAGTGAGTGAGAGTGTGAGTGAGAGAGTGTGTGTGTGTGTGAGAGTGTGTGTGTGTGAGTGTGTGTAATTACCTAAGTGTAATTACCTAAGTGTAGTTACAGGATGAGAGCTACGCTCGTGGTGTCCCGTCTTCCCAGCACTCTTTGTCATATAACGCTTTGAAACTACTGACGGTCTTGGCCTCCACCACCTTCTCACTTAACTTGTTCCAACCGTCTACCACTCTATTTGCGAAGGTGAATTTTCTTATATTTCTTCGGCATCTGTGTTTAGCTAGTTTAAATCTATGACCTCTTGTTCTTGAAGTTCCAGGTCTCAGGAAGTCTTCCCTGTCGATTTTATCAATTCCTGTTACTATTTTGTACGTAGTGATCATATCACCTCTTTTTCTTCTATCTTCTAGTTTTGGCATATTTAATGCTTCTAACCTCTCCTCGTAGCTCTTGCCCTTCAGTTCTGGGAGCCACTTCGTAGCATGTCTTTGCACCTTTTCCAGTTTGTTGATGTGCTTCTTAAGATATGGGCACCACACAACAACTGCATATTCTAGCTTTGGCCTAACAAAAGTCATGAACAATTTCTTTAGTATATCGCCATCCATGTATTTAAATGCAATTCTGAAGTTAGAAAGCATCGCATAGGCTCCTTGCACAATATTCTTTATGTGGTCCTCAGGTGATAGTTTTCTATCTAGAACCACCCCTAGATCTCTTTCTTTATCAGAATTCTTTAAAGATTTCTCACATAATATATAGGTTGTATGGGGTCTATGTTCTCTTATTCCACATTCCATAACATGACATTTATTAACATTAAATTCCATTTGCCAGGTGGTGCTCCATATACTTATTTTGTCCAGGTCTTCTTGAAGGGCATGACAATCATCTAAATTTCTTATTCTTCCTATTATCTTAGCATCATCAGCAAACATGTTCATATAATTCTGTATACCAACTGGTAGATCATTTATGTACACAATAAACATCACTGGTGCAAGAACTGAACCCTGTGGTACTCCACTTGTGACATTTCTCCATTCCGATACATTGCCTCTGATTACTGCCCTCATTTTTCTATCAGTCAGAAAATTTTTCATCCATGATAGAAGCTTACCTGTCACCCCTCCAATATTTTCCAGTTTCCAGAACAACCTCTTATGTGGAACTCTGTCGAAAGCCTTTTTTAGGTCCAGATAGATGCAGTCAACCCAACCATCTCTTTCCTGTAATATCTCTGTGGCTCGATCATAGAAACTGAGTAAATTCGATACACAGGATCTTCCAGATCGAAAACCATACTGTCTGTCTGATATTATATCATTTCTCTCCAGGTGTTCTACCCATTTAGTTTTGATTAGCTTTTCCAATACTTTCACTATTACACTTGTCAATGATACAGGTCTATAATTGAGGGGGTCTTCCCTGCTGCCACTTTTGTAGATTGGAACTATGTTAGCCTGTTTCCACACGTCTGCTACGATTCCTGTACACAGGGATGCCTGAAAGATCAGGTGAAGTGGAATGCTGAGCTCAGATGCACATTCTCTCAGAACCCATGGTGAAACGCCATCTGGGCCAGCTGCTTTGTTCTTCCCGAGCTCCTTTAGCATATTTTCCACTTCATCTCTAGACACCTCTATCCGCGTGTGTGTGTGAGAGTGTGAGTGAGAGAGTGTGTGTGTGTGAGAGTGTGAGTGAGAGAGTGTGTGTGTGTGAGAGTGTGAGTGTGTGAGAGTGTGAGTGAGAGAGTGTGTGTGTGTGAGAGTGTGAGTGAGAGAGTGTGTGTGTGTGAGAGTGTGAGTGAGAGAGTGTGTGTGTGTGAGAGTGTGAGTGAGAGAGTGTGTGTGTGTGAGAGTGTGAGTGAGAGAGTGTGTGTGTGTGAGAGTGTGAGTGAGAGAGTGTGTGTGTGTGAGAGTGTGAGTGAGAGAGTGTGTGTGTGTGAGAGTGTGAGTGAGAGAGTGTGTGTGTGTGAGAGTGTGAGTGAGAGAGTGTGTGTGTGTGAGAGTGTGAGTGAGAGAGTGTGTGTGTGTGAGAGTGTGAGTGAGAGAGTGTGAGTGAGAGAGTGTGTGTGTGAGAGAGTGTGAGTGAGAGAGTGTGTGTGTGAGAGAGTGTGAGTGAGAGAGTGTGTGTGTGAGAGAGTGTGAGTGAGAGAGTGTGTGTGTGAGAGAGTGTGTGTGTGAGAGAGTGTGAGTGAGAGAGTGTGTGAGTGAGAGAGTGTGTGTGTGAGAGAGTGTGTGTGTGAGAGAGTGTGTGTGTGAGAGAGTGTGTGTGTGAGAGAGTGTGTGTGTGAGAGTGTGAGTGAGAGAGAGTGTGAGTGAGAGAGTGTGAGTGAGAGAGAGTGTGAGTGAGAGAGTGTGAGTGAGAGAGTGTGAGTGAGAGAGAGAGAGAGAGAGAGAGTGTGAGTGAGAGAGAGAGAGAGAGAGAGAGAGAGTGTGAGTGAGAGAGAGAGAGAGAGAGAGAGAGAGAGAGAGAGAGAGAGAGAGAGAGAGAGAGAGAGAGAGAGAGAGAGAGAGAGAGAGAGTGTGAGTGAGAGAGAGAGAGAGAGAGAGAGAGAGAGAGTGTGAGTGAGAGAGAGAGAGAGAGAGAGAGAGAGAGTGTGAGTGAGAGAGAGAGAGAGTGTGAGTGAGAGAGAGAGAGAGAGAGAGAGAGAGAGAGAGAGAGAGAGAGAGAGAGAGAGAGAGAGTGAGTGAGTGAGTGAGTGAGTGAGTGAGTGAGTGAGTGAGTGAGTGAGTGAGTGAGTGAGAGCTCTCATTCTCCTGACAAGCGAGAGTGAGTGATGGCTCATTCTTCTGACAAGAGTGTGAGTGATGGTTTATTCTCCCAACAGGAGAGAGAGAGCGAGAGAGTCAGCTCATTCTCTTGACAGAAGAGTGTGACGGCTCATTCTCATGATAGGAGACCAAATAACACGACTAATACACTAATCAGTACTACAGTATTATTAGAAGTATAAGTAACAAGTTCACTATGGTAGGGGTGTATACTGTACCCTGTAGTAATTACAACAAAGTATATGTAGATAAACAATTCTGGCGCTTAGGTGAGAGGATTTGTAAATATCCTCTCATCTCATTATTCATATAGAGTAAGTACTGTATGCCTGCGATATCAACAATGCAAACAACACTTATCATACAAAAAATAGCTTTTCTCATCCGCTTTATCCATACTAAACGTTCATCAAAAAAGAAATATTAGTAGAACATATACTGTATACAGTAGATAATGCCATCAAGCACAGCATTACTGTATAACACCATCAGAGAATGGAAGAAACTTTAATATTACTACTGTACCACTCTTGCTAAATTAATACTTAAAAATAATAAAGCATTGAATGACCTGGAATACTCTTTTTGAGATCTGGAGTACTCTCTTGGGAATGAATATTCCACTGCCAATTGTCTGGGAAAGAGGAGATATGAAAAAAGAACTGGATGGAGTAATGCAACAGAAAGGCTACTATGAACTGACCAATGCTGAAACCTGTTGGTTAATGGAATGGCAGAAATTGGAAATTATTTGTTCACAGCAACAAAATGGATCCACATTTAGACAGTTAAGTGTCATGTAAAAAGAGGTCTTCTCTACCTCTTCTTTGAAACAGGGATGTAGGAGCTATTGACCACCATGAAATCAGTTGATGTGCCTTGAATGTAAGTTGACTAGAGCGCTAACACACTGAGGATCCAGAAGAGAAGCTACCGCTAGAGTACACTGCCCCCTATGAGGCAATTAACCTCCAGCAGATTGAATGCAGCCAAATCTCAAGGACCTTGTAAGGCACAGAAATGCCTTCAACACCACCTCCAACTCCTGCACCATAATGTGGGAGCTCCACAATACTGTACACTAGTGCCCACCGACTGTTGTGGTGACGCATGGAAATGAAAAATGTTGAGACCCGATCCATTAGCTACAGCTAGACTGACAAAGGAAGCAAGATTTAATAGGCACCTATCTGGTAGTTTATGGTCAGATCAGGATGTGCTAGTCAGTTCATTGTTAGGTCAGGATATGCATGTGATGCCTATTTATAACCTAGTGGATTAAGACCCATCCTAAGTATTGAACTTGCGTGAGGTTAGGTCTTCTTTGATGTCTAAGTTTCATTCATTCACTCATACTCTCTTGTATCTTCTACATTTTCACCAATCATGCTATCTTTAAGCTGTGTTCCAGTGCAAGATAAATTGAACAGAATATGTACATTATAAAGAAATAATGTGGTGATATAATGTAAACATTAGTATTGTATTGTTTTATGACATTTTTAAGAAATAACAAATTACCATACCGGAGTGTACAGCTATTATAATTTAATACATCACAGGGTGGAAGTGAACCTCTAGATTGGAGAATTCGTGTAAATATAGGTGAAGGAGCAGCACGGGGAATCGTCCATCTCCACACCTACCAGCATCGACCACTTGTTCATCGTGACATAAAGAGTGCCAATATTTTGCTGGACAGTAATTTCACTCCTAAGGTTAGACTAATTATTAATAAACACTACAGAAAGGTGGTTCATTAAATGATCAATGATCATGAGCACCATCAATGATAAGACACAAAATCATTGTCTTCTCATTGATGGTGGTGATGATCTTCATGTTAAGATCTATCATGCACGCTTGAGTGTTAACCCTTCTGCATTGTACCACCAATCCTACTTCTATTGTCTAACTCATTCCACTTATTTACAATTCTGAAAAAAGTTCTTTCAGACAAGTCTGTGTATCTCGTTATCATTTATGTTATTACATTGTAACCAAAAGAGAGATCTGTAACAAGTTTTAAAAACCATCAGTACTCATTGAGTTATGAATAGGCAACTTAAATCTGCTGCTGCCTTTTTGTACATCTATTGTCACACTCATTCCAGGTTGGGGACTTTGGCCTTGTACACCTTGGAGGTAGTGGAACTCACACAAGGACATTGATCAAGACATCTACTGTGTTTGGTACATCTGCATACATGGCCCCTGAAGCATTTAGAGGGGATATTTCTGTTAAAATGGATACATTTAGCTTTGGAATTGTAAGCTCCATTTTATTCTTCCTAAGAATATTAAAATGTGTTATAGACTAAGGGAAAAATGGTCTTATTTATTACTAATTACTTCTTGCGAGAATAAATATTACATGTACACTGTATATAACATTATTGTTTTAGTTGGGGGGTCCTTGGCTGGGTCTCATCATGTTTGGGGTCCTTGATATGATGAAGTTTGGTAACCTCTGCTATAGATTACAGTATTAGCCATTTCTGAGCAAGGTCCCTCAGTAGCTTCCCTTAGTCTTAGCACTGATATCTCCAGAACACTGAATACATTGGGCTTCTGGGTGACTATGGTCATGGGAACCAGTATCTTTGCAAATTGGAGAGCATACAGTACAGTACCTCAATCTACTACCAGGAAAAACCACAATTTGAGTCACCGAAAGGTCGCGGCCTTCATTACCAAAGCAGCATAGACATTTGGGCACATTTCCTTCACCTGATGCTTCTGTTCACCTAACAGTAAATAGGTATCTGTGACTTAGCCTAACAAGTTTCCTGTTCCCAACTTTGGGAAACCATAAATACTGTACAGTATTTCAAAACACAAACTCCCTCCAAGTGATACTTAGCAACACTGAATTGCCAAAAACACTGAACCAGTGAAGCCCCCCCTCCCCCCCCCCTGTAGCCAACTATATGGGCAGCAGACCTGCTGATAAGTTGGTTAGAGAAGGTTGACACACCATTTTAACCCTTTGGCTGCAATGAGTGAAAATGCTTGCGTCACGAGAAAGTGTTTCTTAGCAATATGGTATAGCGTCACCGAAAACCGTTTGGCACCTTTGTTTTGAAAGTGTTCAAAACAAAACAAAAAAGGTTTTGAACACCTTTGTTTTGAAGTGTTCCTCAATTGAGTTATAATGGACAGTTACTCTTGGTAGTGAATTAAGGAATGCTTTTCACTAATGTCCTCACATATTGTTAGACTTGACACAATTTGCAAGGAACGTGTCTCATGTGCATAAAATCGCCTAGAAGACCAATATATTCACAGTCTCCTGGTGATATCATTGTCATGGCTAGGGGAAGCTACAAGGTGCAAGGTGCTGCTCATAAAGGAGCATTTCATTACATTCCATGCTCTGTTATTTATTAAAATATTTACTTATTACCACTGTATTTAGTTTCTTTTTAACTTTTTTACTATTGCTGCTCAGGTTCTCCTAGAGATGCTGACTGGCCTACCATCCTATGATGAAGAACGGGAGGGTTGTGACTTGGTAAGTATCTACTGTACAGTACTATAACTTTATTTGGTTTTGAATAAACTAAAAAATTATGTCTCTAAACTGTTTTCTGGTAGTTTTAGAGACTAGTAACATTGTACCCAAAAACATCCATGGAAAGGTTTTGGGTACAATGATCCAAACTTTGTACATTTTATCTAAGAAGCTTTAGGTATTGAATTGACATTTTTAGAGGATCAGTTGGCCTTTATACAATGCAAATACTATTTCCTTGCCACTAAAATCATTGTTATACAGTATGTTATTTGTGTCAAAATATGCAAAAACATATAAATAGTATAAATGTATAAATAGCTATTAGAAAAGTTTGGATAAAATAGCTGAAATAGGACGATGTTTCAGAAATCTGGATTTTACGCAATTCTAGATCAGGTCTGGAACAACATTATCAGGAATTTGGAGGTTCACTGTAGTACTGTTATTGTTCAAATGGGAGGTGTGGTTCAATTTTAAACCATGTATATTTTAAAGAAATAATGAGGTGTAATAAACACTATAATTTGGTTTACCATTATTGGGGACAGGAAGCCTGTTAGGTTTATCAAGATCAACAAGCCAATAACTGACCTTTCCCCAGGATGTGACCCACAACAACTCCCAAGTACCTGTTTACCATTTGGTAAATATACTGTATGGCCATTAGGTGTAAAGAAACATATCCAAACATGATCAAATCCACAAGGGCCGTGATGAGGGTTTGAACCTATGTCTGAGAGGATCCCAGACGCGCCTTAATCAACTGTGTCACGATATTGTAAAAGAATTGCAATCAGGAGTTCAACTGACCATCGATCAAGGTGCGTCTGGGATCCTCTCTGACGTTGGTTCGAACCCTCATCACGGCCCTTGTGGATTTGATCATTTGATGCATCACGCTATTGTGATTTCTGTGTGTAATATCCAAACATCTTGCACTGCCCCAGGGAAATCAAACTTGTGTCCAATCAGTTGTGAGCTGAATGCATAGTACAGTACTTAAAATACCCTTGGGTGTTTTATATGTAGGAACAATACAATGACTATTTTACTTGTTCTTTGCTTATTTACTTACTAATTGTCAGGATAATAATTTTGGTGTATAAAGCAATATTAAATGTCATGGGTATGTTTCAGTTGTCTTATGTTCAAGAGAGTGAAGCAGAGGTGGAAGAGCTCCTGGACGCAAAGGCTGGTGCCTGGGACATGGATATTGCCTCTCACCTCTTTACTTTGGCTGGGCTCTGCACTGAGGCTAAGAAGAAAAGGCCAACAATGGTCCAAGCTCTCTATAATTATTCCCATATCATAAATCACTAGATAAAAATTAGAGTGCATTGGGAGGACATGAACATTCAATGTGGGGCTATCCTTAGAATATGACAATCTCAACAGAGGGTGACGATAATGGATGAAAAATTTTAGCATAAAGATTTCTTAAACAGAAACCCAGAGATGTAGAAATGTCGATAGATCCCAAAGGGTCTTTATTATATAATAAAAGTAAATTTGATTTGTTTTAATTGTAAAGATTCTTTTTAACCTTCAGAATGTAGCTATTATAAACACTGCCACCTGTTTGTAAGCAATAAATTTTGATAATTATTTTACTGCTTTTGTATAAAATTGTAGACCCGATTCAGAAGTATAAAAAATACAAAATACAAAATCATAACTCATATTTTAGAGTGAGCAATGATCAACATTCCCATGTTAGTCTTAAGTTGATGTGCTAGCCAAGCCAGAAATATATTTGAAGTACAATATTTTCAAAAGTAAGGAATCTATGCAATAAAAGTAAAAATATAAAATAAATATACCTGCATTTACTTGTGGGCCACTAGCACTCTAGTGGCCTGGACTAAGACCGGAAGTCGGCGACTTGTCAAAGGTCCCCCCATTTGCCCAGAAGATCCTTGTTGGTCTTTGAGTGATATGATTGTTACAAGATGGAGGGAGACCAGGAGCTGAAGTATTTTGTGGCCTCCCATGAAATTGGTATTCAAATATTGGCATAAAGCATATAGTAGTAATAATAAGAGCGGTACACCGAGGATCAACAGGATGAGGAGAGCACTAAAATTCCTGTGCTGCAGAATGAACGTTCTAATTTTCTTTGTTTTGCCTTATGTTTTTTTTTTTTAATAACAAGGTTAGGTATACATATGGGGGAATTAAAATAATTTTGGATTTGGAGTAACCTAAACAAAAAAGAATGGGATGGGAAGGTTACATTAAACTTTTAGTTATAAAATTGTAGGAGTGAAAACATGTGTGTGGTCATTAAAGATTGAAGGATTTGCTTGGAGTTAATTGTAACATGACAAAGCTAAAGTGTTCTTGTTGTTGATAGTACCGTGCTTGTGAAGGGGTTGTCGTTCCCAATGACTGTACCAGTACTCATGTTGGGCGACATGTCACCATGGACCGTCAATGTTGAGTGTGACAAGGTGTGAAGGCTTGTGTGTGGTGTAGAGTGTAGACTACTGTTGAGTGTAGAGATAGGAGCGGGATAGACTATAGAGGCGTGTGATAGGGGTAGACTTGCTGCACTGTAGGGCGGGATATTGTTGTTGTTGTTTAAGATTCGCTACTTGGAACAAAAAGTTCCTCTAAATATAGAACAGACATCAACGAACTTCACTTGGAACAAAAAGTATGGTATGGGCTATGGTGAGCCCGTTGTGGACTTACCTGGCACAGGAGCGGGGCTGTGGATCGGCGGGATGTGTTCATGGCGCTAGGTATATGCACAGGTCAAATGTGGCCTAGTTTGTTGGTCAACCGGAGATATTTAGCCAGTGCTTTGATTATTTGAAATTTTATATGTACAGTAATGAGAGGTCGCCTGCTAATATATGCTCGATGTTAAAAGGTATTTTAAGTGTGATAAATACAGTACTTGTTTGAAGTTTACTCTGGCACTATGATGTGGAAAACAGTGAAGGAGGTTGTGTTCAATTGTTTCTGGAACATGACTGGATGCAAAGTTTGTTGATGTCTGTTCTATATTTAGAGGTGTGTACTGCCAGTGTGGTGTGTCTCAGCCTTACTCTGGTCATCATTGCATCAATTTCTCTGTTTTTATACCCGGCATGTTTCCAAAAAAAAAAGTTTCCCATTTATTTTTTTATGGATCCATAGTATAAACATGAGCATGACGTTTTCCATTTCATTACAAAATCTTGGGTGAAAGGAACTTTGAAGGCTCCTTTATGTGAAACATAAGGAACTGAATGATGGGTAATGTAAGGAGTGTTGTGCATCACTGGCCAGCTGGTCTACAAGTTCATCATGGAGTATACCACAATGCGCTGGGACCCTTTGGCTAGAGATGTCATAACCTTTCAATTGAATAGGGATGCCAAACGGCAGCATCAAATCCAAATTGCAAAACAAAACATGATCCGGCGGCTCCCAAGCGGAGGAAGCGTCCATACGTCTGCTTGCAGTTAAGGTTAAAAAGTCAAAAGGCTTGTGTGGTAATGGAGCCGCCAACAATAACAATTAAAAAAAAAATTCATTTTTTTGTTGGCGGATTTGGATTTTTTTGTTGGTATAGTTGGAGCTTTTTTGTTGGCGGATTTGGATTTTTTTATTGGCGGATTTAGATTTTTTGTTGGCGGAATTCAATTTTTTTGGCAGGTGGAATTGGTTTATTGGGGAATTTCAATTTTTTTGTTAGTGGATTTGGATTTTTTTTTGGCTGATTTTGATTTTTTTTTGGTGGATTTAGATTTTTTGTTGTCGGATTTAGGATTTATAGTTAGTGGACTTAGAATTTTTTGAAAGCATATTTGATATTTTTTGTTGGTGGATATGGAATTTTGTTATTGATGGATTTGGATTTTTTGTTGGTGGATTTATAATTTTTTGTTGGCGGATTTGGAATAGTTTTGTTGGTGGATTTGGAATTGTTTTGTTAGCAGATTTGGAATTTTTTATGTTGGCGGATTTGACATTTTTTATATTGGCGGATTTTGAATTATTTTTTTTGGATTTGGAACTGTTTTGTTGCCATATTTGGATTTTTTTGTAGGAGGATTTGGATTTTATGTTGGCAGATTAAGAATATTTTGTTGGCAGAGTTGGAATTGTTTTGTTGGCAGATTTGGAATTTTTTTGTTAGCACATTTGGATTTGTTTTTTGTTTGTGGCTTTGGAATTTTTTGTTGGCTGATTTGGATTTTTTTCATTGGTGTATTTGGATTCATTTGTTGGCCGATTTCAATTTTTTGTTGGTGGATTTTAATTGATTTTGTTGGCAGATTTGATTTTTTTGTTGGCAGATTTGATTTTTTTGTTGGTTTAGATTTTTTTGTTGGTGGATTAGGATTTTTTTGGCAGAATCTGGATTTTTTTGTTTGCAGATTTGGAGTTATTTGTTGTCGGATATGTACTGTAATTGTATTGTTGGCGGATTTGCAATTTTTTGTTGGCGGATTTGGTTTTTTGTTGGTGGATCTGGATATTTTTGGCAGATTTGGAATTTAGAGTTAGCAGAATTATATTTTCTTTGGCAGATATGGAATTTAAAGCTTTGTTCCATACTTACTGGGAAGCTGCTAGACGCACGCTCCTCTATTTACATCGTGCTGTTTAAAGTCGATTATGGCGTTCCCGTTTACTCATCTGCCTCTCCTTCGACTCTTCGTCTGCACTATACAGGGTCACACCTCACCTCTGGTGCCTCTCGTTCGTCTCCTGTCCAACCACTTGGGCTGGATGGTAGAGCGACGAGCTTCATTCAGGTTGGCATTCAATCCCCGACCGTCCAAGTAGTTGGGCTCCATTCATCCTTCCTGTCCCATCCCAAATCCTTATCCTGACCACTTCCAAGTGCTATAATAGTCACAATGGCTTGGAGCTTTCTCCCGAAAGTTCCCTTCCCGTAGTTCATCTCATACCCTGAGCCTGTATGTGGAAACCCGTGTCCTGTCTCTACAGTATTGTTGCCATATGTCCGTATTTTCCAGGACATGTCCTAGATTCAGGTGTCAAAATCTGCGTCTGGGCGGTAAAATTTAAAAACTTCTATACATGCGATATATATATATATATATATATATATATATATATATATATATATATATATATATATATACAGTGTATATATATATACATATACAGTATATATATATATATATATATATATATTATATATATATATATATATATATATATATATATATATATATATATATATATATATATATACAGTGTATATATATATATACAGTATATATATATATATATATATATATATATATATATTTATATATATATATATATATATATATATATATATATATATATATATATATATATATATATATAACTGAAAACTCACACCCCAGAAGTGATTCGAACCCATACTGCCAGAAGCACTCTGCAACTGATGTACAGGATCCCTTAACCACTCGACCATCACCACCGGACAAAAGAGGATGGTAGCTGAGGCTAATTCCCCATCCCCCTGCCAGCACACTGATGGTAGTCTTGGGCCTGGAGACCGTTCAGGCTTGTTCGCATTTGTGTTCCTCACGTGTGCCCCAAAGAATGAGGCGATTTGATAAAATACCATGCCCAAGATTACCATCAGAGTGCCAACGGGGGAATGGGGAATTAGCCTCGGCTACCATCCTCTCTTGTCCGGTCATGATGGTCGAGTGGTTAAGGGATCCTGTACATCAGTTGCAGAGTGCTTCTGGCAGTATGGGTTCGAGTCACTTCTGGGGTGTGAGCTTTCAGTTGCATATATGCCTGGAGACCATTCAGGCTTGTTCGCATATATTATATTATATTATATATATATATATATATATATATATATGCAAACAAGCTTAAATGGTCCCCAAACCTATATATATATATATATATATATATATATATATATATATATATATATATATATATATATATATATATATATATATATATATATATATGTCGTACCTAGTAGCCAGAATGCACTTCTCGGCCTACTATGCAAGGCTCGATTTGCCTAATAGGCCGAGTGATTTTCTTTATTTTCAATAAATCGTTTCCAATTAGATTACAGTACTTGAATTAATATTATTATATTATATTAGGAACATAAATTATTGACTTAGTTGTGTTAGTTTAAGATAGGTAAGGTTTGGTTAGGTTCGGTCTTATATCTACGTTAGTTTTAACTCAAATTTTAAAAAAATTACCTACACATAATGAAATGGACAGATTTATCATTTCATAAGAAAAAAAACTAGAAAAATATATAATGTCAGGAAAACATTGCCTATTAGGCAAATCGGCCCTTGCATAGTAGGCCGAGTGCGACGTTCTGGCTACTAGGTACAATATATATATAAATATATATATATATATATATATGTCGTACCTAATAGCCAGAACGCACTTCTCAGCCTACTATTCAAGGCCCGATTTGCCTAATAAGCCAAGTTTTCATGAATTAATGTTTTTTCGTCTACCTAACCTACCTAACCTAACCTAACCTAGCTTTTTTTGGCTACCTAACCTAACCTTACCTATAAATATAGGTTAGGTTAGGTTAGGTAGGGTTGGTTAGGTTCGGCCATATATCTACGTTAATTTTAACTCCAATAAAAAAA